TTTGACCCCAGTGCATTTCCTGCCATGGCAGGGAGTCAGACTAGATGATCTGCTCAGGTCCCTTCCGACCCTAGAAACTATGAAACTATGAAACTTGCTTACTGTAATAAAGCCTATCCTTTCCTGTAGACCAGGTAGATTAGTAAGATTTATAAACCATATACAAAATACATATCCACAAGAAACTCCCTGTGGCTTGCAGTCAGGGCATAAATTTATTCTACAGTTGTTACTGAGGTCTGTATTAGTGTGTGTGATCTGGACATAAGGGCCAGGTACACTTTTACCAGTATAAGTGATAGGAAAACAGTTTATACCAGTAACAGAACAGAAGTTTAACACACAAAACTGTTCTACACCCATAACAGAACAGAAGTTTGGTACACACAGACTTGTTTAAAAATGGTCGAACCCAATCTAAGATCTGCCAAGGGGAAATATGTGTTCTCTTGCTACTGATGTAAACTACAACACTTACAGAAAACTGTGGGACTTAGATTGATTCTGCCTCAGGTTTTTTGAATGCCTGTGCCTAGCCAAGGGTAGTAGTTAGCCACAGTCTGAAATCAGGCATGAGGCAGGGTAGATTTGTAAATCAGAGATGCATAGCATAAGCTTTCATAAGCCCAAGCTCTCTTAATCAGATGTTGATGTGAAAGAACACATGCAGGGCAGTGTATCAAATACAGAGAGTGATAGTGAATGTGAAAAGCAGGCAAGAGAGGGAGGGAAGGGAGACACAGGAGGTGAAACAATGCTGGGAGAGGCAAATAAGCAGTAAACCTATAGGCTGGGGACAGACATTACACATAAACTGGTTTGAGTGATCAGAAACTAGTTTAAACCTGTTACAGAACTGATGTTCAGTGCACATAAACCAGTTTGAGAATGGCTGAAACTGGTTTGATATAAACCTGGTTGAATGTAGTATCAGACTTAACTGATTTGGGTCAGACTGATTTATGCATTGTATGTCCCAGACCCCTTGCTGGTTTAAGATAAAACAGACTCCCCCAGCATCCTGGCACACTCTCTGGGCTGGATGGGGCTCTC